AACTCCGACTAGCACACGAAAATTATCGTAACTAATGCAACAATAAACTGTTCATTTCAATGTTAAGGACTTTTTAGCTTTCGATGTCCGAAGATTACATGGAAATTTGCAACAGCTCTGACGGAGCACAATAGCGTTCAGAGGCGAAACAAAGATGGCGGACGTAGCGTGGGTAGCAGTATCCCGTCATTCAATGCGGTGTTGTTTTTTTCGTGGCACATTTGGCGTGTTGATGCGGCGATAGCGCCGTGTCGCAGTCGAGATAAATCTCAGAATTTGTACATTGTACAATCAAGCCGAAAACGTTGGGGTGTGCGTTTCAAACAGCCAAGGACGTAATATGACTGATGATGACAACGACGCCACGACATTTTGAGTTTTTCCGGTTGGATTTGAAAAGATGTTTGCTTCGAATTCGTTACATACATGTCGGAAGGGAATATGACTTGAGACTCCGCAAAGTTTGCTTATACACAAACACACACAAAAAAACCAGTTACTCAAGGAACTGAATATGATTTTGGAAACGGTCAAACGTCTCACCATAGCACACTACATTTTGTCAGATCACAATATTCCTCCGGATCCGACCATTTTGAGTAAAACCATGGATCCCTTTATGCCTCAAACCATGGAGTTAGAAGGGCTATTACTTAGCCTACCTGGGCAAAAATATGCAAAAAAGCTACTTAAAGTATACTCTAGATACATTTTATTGCTTGCACAGAATAAGGTGGCCTTCTAATATTAACTTCTACATTGGGATTTACGACTCGCTATAACTTCTCTTTACCGTTGAAAATACTAGTAACAAAATGGCGACAGTGAGGTTTTGACGCTATCCCGTCATCCATTGTGGTTGCTTGATAGAAATCAAGGAGGTTAAAAATCAAAGTGAGAGAAAAATTATTTGTACACATTCTTCATATTTAGCATTCGGTCCTTTAGGAGTCAAAACAGAGAAATGTGCCGCGGCCGGAGCCCGATGTGACAAGGTTTGCGCCGGGTATTTTTTTAGAGATACAATTCTACCTCTATGGATATACCCGTACCCAGAAAGTTTGATTGAAAGGAAGCTGGCAATTTGGCAAGACTGTCTTATAAAAGTCAGTAAGTTGATTGTTTGCCTTCCCTTAAAGGACTGGGAGAACTATTCGTTGCGAAACTTCACCGAATCACCGAAAATACGGAATGTAGAGTCGGTGACAGATTTAAATTTATCTTAAAGAGTATATGTAGAGTAGAGTAGAAGCTCCGGTCTGGTATTACGTATGTTGCATGAATGTCCGCGAGAGTGTGATGGTTGGTCCATGTAAATTTACGAAGTCATGCATAAGTACGAGCGCTGTACAAATATGAGAATATGTGTGAGTCGGTCAACTATTCGAGGCAACTGCCGCCTCGCCCCCGATAATTTCGTACAAAATATCGGACCAAAGTATTCCTTTATCGGCTCCCTTCATGCTTTAGACTTGTGAATATAGCTAAAGACACATTTTATTACATCTTCAGAATAAGGTGGCGTACTATTACTAGCTTGTACCAAGGACGTTCAACGAAACGTCCTTGCTTGTACAAAGGGATTTGCAACTTCCCTCGCCTCTCTACCAAAACAACAAGCTGACAAAATGGCGACTGTCAACTTGCGACGCTATCCCGTCATCCATTGCCCGACCGTTATCGGCTTGACAAGCGACTTCGCGGTAAGTGTTAT